AGCATATTTTTAAATGCAAGGATGAGGCAATACTTGACATTTGGATTTCAGTATGGTGTTCCTGAAATACGGTTGGATTCTTCTCTTGGCATTGGTTGCTGTTCTTCAGAGAAGCCTCTTAAACATCTCTACCAACATAAAAATTTTTACAGCAGAGAATACCTAGGACTTGCATGAGAAATGATACTAATCTAAATGTTTAAAATGTTTAGTTTTGTACTAAACCCAATACAGTTGCATTTAGAGGAAAACTACTTTGCACCTTTGTCCAAACTGTAATGTCACAAACAAACAGACTTGCAATATGAACATGGGATCTACAGACTTCAAAAGGGATGTGGTTATGGTGTAGCCTCCTTGACTGTGCTTGGAAGCTTCTTGATGTCGAGTTTAGCATCTACTGGGTGTTTAAAATAAGTGAGAAATAACCTGTTATGGGAGAATATCTCCTTTTATTTTTGTGAAGACAACAAGAGTTTTTTCTAATGCACATGCAGTTTAATTTTTGTAAAGGGAAGATGGCCAGTGACCAGCCAGTAAAGCAGAATTGTTGCATATTTTGACTTGTGTTCCCAGTTGCTTCTCATAAAGCCTGTAGTTAAGAGTTACTTTCTTCTGTACCTGGCTTTGACTTCCATATATTTTAGTAAAACAAAAAATGAAAAATTTTGCACTGTTTGTTTTGCTCTCTTCCCTCATGCAGCAAATGTAAAATAGCAAAACCTAGAAACTCTTGTCTTTTCATTATGCAACTTGAGATGTTCCAGTTGTATGTCTTAGTTCCTGTATATGGGACCTATTTTTAATGTTTCTGTAAACTGGCGATGTAATGAAGTGCTGTGTATCAGGAAATTGTACACTATTTACCTTTTTTCCTGTTCATAAGCTGAGCCATATGTACATAATCTAGATTTTTGTTTTCCTAGTTTTGCACTTTTATAGCCTATTTTTTGAAGATGAATTCACTTGGAAAATGGTTAATCTATTTTTTTGCGTGATCTTTCAATGAGTCTTATAGAATGCATGCTGTAACTATCTTCTCTGTACCTTACGGGGTTCTGTGATTAAAATGTATGGGGCTGGTTTTTAAGATGTTTCAGCCAACAGACCTAAGACTTGTTTTTAATCTCCCTTCATGCTGGTACAGTTTCCCTCAAGGCTTTTTTTGGTAGGTATCATGGGTTTGTAATGGAAAAATGGACATGAAGACTCTATTTCATGGCAGCACAGCCCTGTACTTCAGAATACACTTTGCCCATCAGTATTAACTATTGGGATACTACTGGTTTTGTATGTTTCTTTGGAAAGAACAGTGCATATATAGAGGTACAAATTGTTGATTTTTTTGTTTATGTATTTATTTCATTCCATTTTGTTTTATTTTAATTGTTGAAACCGGAAGTTGTCAAGCAGTAGGCACACATTACTCATTTAATTTATGATGTATTTCACTTTAGTTGAGTATATTATTACATGTGGATGTAAATATAGACTTGGTGTTTTGCAAAACTGGTTTCTGTGTCTTCCTTTTAAAGTTTGAGATGAGTTGCCTGGAATTTCATATTCACTTGACCTTTTGTCATACTTGCACCGCTGAGGGAGGGGGAGAAGGAGAACCTGCCAATAACCAAAACCAAATTCCTGCCCTGTTCAAGTTGCTTGTATGAAAATACTGAGTCACTTCCCAGACAATCTGTCTGTGAGGCTTAAGAGGAAAACTCTTAAAATAATGAAAAAAACCTTTTGTTTCTTCTTTCAGTTATTTTCCTTCAAGAAAGGAAGTTGAGTTACTGTATGCATTCTTTATGGTAGCAAGAAATTATGAGGGGAGATTTTCTTTGGTGTGGCTTTAGAATTTGTGTGGGCTTAAACTGTTAGCAAAAATTTCTAGGTCTTGTGTTCTTGGAACTTGATTGAGGTGTTAGACCGCATCAACACCTCTGACCATATCTCAAAACTAGATTGTGAGCTGAACACAGCAACTAGAAAAGATTTATCAAAGGCAACTCCTCCTCATGAGAAAGGGAGCCCATCAGATGAGATCCCTAATATAAATCAACCTCATTTAAGGGCACTTACATGAGTGACCACAGCCTCATTGACATCACAGGTTTTGATTCCTGTGCTAGGCTGGTGCTTGTTGCCATGATAAGGTTTGTAGAAGTAGGTTAGACTAGTTTCTTGACTTAAGTGAAGCTTTTGTCTTCCCCAACAGCACTGCTTATAAAGTGGGAGCTTAGGAGCAAGGTGAGGCTATGTGTGGATCTGTCACTTGCTCTGCAAACAGCAACTTCTTATGTTGCCTGGGCTGCACAAATGAGGGGTCTTGGAGTCTTCCACTGAAGACGTTCAGCTGGGCTGAGGGTAAGGTGACTATCAAGAACTTTCTGTGCAGCGCTGAATGACCTGTTAGACAGAATGCAAGAAATAAGCGTGAGCTTTTCAAATGATATTTGCTATATCAACTGTGGTTTTCCTTTGGTGCCTCCTAAGAGTGCTCAGGGTCTTTCTTTTCATCATTAGTAGCTTCAGATAAGCTAGACTGATTTAGGGACAGTAGAGGTGTATTCCAATGACTTTGTATTTAGATACCTACATTGCCATAACAATTTGTGAGTTCTGCAAGCTGTTAAAAGTCAAATTAAAGAGCAAATCTCAACATGTGACAGAGGGAGGTGTTAAAGGTACAGAACCAGTACAAGGATATTCAGCTGAAGATTGAGAAGTCTTTCTGGCTTCAAGTCTCTTGCATCTTCAAACAGTGTGGGATTTTGGAGGGTTTTTTTCAGTGTTTCCATGTCTAATTTGTGATATATACATTTCTCAGTTCTGAGCTACATTAATGCTGCTAAAACTTTTTCTCCCTGCCCCCCTTCTTTTGTTATTCCCAGCCTTAACTGGGTCAATAGAAAAGTTGAGACTCTCTTTGTGGGGAAAGAAATTGACCCAGTGAATAAATCCAGGGTGTGTTTTCACTGTTGGTGTTGATAGAGCTGCTGTAGTTGAGGGGTCGGTGAGATGTGCTGCTGTGGTCTCTGCCCCCCTCACGCCAGTGAAGCCCTCTGGTAACAGGTTTGTGTAATAACCTGCAGGGTGCCAGGTTCTGGTTGTTGCCTCCAAGCAAGGCATCAGAGGACTTCCAGTACTCTCTGAAACAATGGAAGGCATGGCTAAAATATCGTGTTTCTCTGCAGTGATTATTAACTGTTCAGATCAGCATTATCAACAGTTTGAGGGATCTTCCGATGCATTTAATGAATTACCAGTTAAGCTACATAGACTACTGCATGTCTTGAAATTATGAAGGAGCAATACTTATTTCCTCTTACAAGGAAGATAAACTATTAAATCATAAAACAGTTTCTTCCCCTTTGCGAAAGAGGAAAACACACAAGTGTGTTACTGAGCAGATTTCTCTGTTCATTTGCACACACTTAAGAAAAGTGCATTTAATTAGGATTAGCAAGTCTCTAAGCTGCAGATGGTTCTCAGGGGAAAAAATAGTTGTGAGTGCATTCATGACATTAAAATCAGTACATTTAATTCAATTGCATCTTAATATTAATTCACAACATCTAAAGTGGTAGCTCCTACAGAGAATATTCATATGATTTAGGATTGCTGGGGAAAATGATATCTAGCATTTCCAAACATGCTACAGCATGATTACCATGTGTAATTATGCAGATTGAGTAACTACATGCTAATTGCAAGAGTGCCCATGTTTCCATGTGGTGTTATCTGTAACAAGGGTCTGGTCTATGATATGCAGTTTTTAGTTTGGAGTTGTTATTGAGCTCAGTGTTCGGTCATGTGTGAAATATTATAAAAATAAGTCGCTGTTGGTGTGTGACCCAGAAGCAGCTGCTGGGCTGAGCAGCCTGCTCAAAACAAGAAATTCTGTCTTGTTAAGAACATTTTAGAGACTCATGTTGGCCTTGGTTCTGACCACAGACCTGAGAGCATGCCATCTCCTTCTTTAAAGAGTTAAAGGTATGGTATCTTTCCAGATCATCCGTTCTTAATTTTATTATTGGCTCTAATTGAACTGAGCCTGATTGCTGGGGGCAGATCCAGCAGCTTTATATTCCTTCTGTATATATTTGTATGAAAGTAAATAAACTACTAAGGCCATGCTGGATCGTTGTGCAGGATAATGGAGCTTGGAACTGGGGAACTCTGGATTTTGGTAATACCTCTCCCTTTTTTAGAAGGTTCCTCCCTTTGTTTCCGCGGAGGTTATCCCTACGTGCAAAATACCGCCGCTGTCAGCTTCCCGGCTGAGCTGGGCTCCGCAGGCTCCCGGAGTTCATCGCCTCTGTGTCCAACGCTCCCGAACGCCTCTCGGCCCCTGTGCTGGAGGGAAAGGTCGGGCGAGAGCTGCTGCAGCCGCTCCTCGGTGCTCCGCTGGCTCTTACCAATGGTGGAAGCTCTAGGGTGGACCAAGGGGTGGCTCCCAACAGCGTTTTGATCGGGAGATCATGCAGAAAGGGCGATCCCAGCACCGGGTTTCCTCCAAGAAGAGCCGGGAGCGCGTTCGGGCGTTAGGTGGCGGCATCGGCAAAGCGGAGCCGCGGCCGGGCCGGGCTGGAGGCGCCGCGTGGGGGTCTGACGGGCGAGTTATGAATTAGCAACTGCATAAAAGTGGATAAAAACAAAACAGACACAGCTGCCCCAGAACAGACCATACATGCAGAAGGATGGTGCCCTATTTAAATAATGGGTGCAGCAGAAATCGCGGCATAGCCAGAAAACTTCACCGACAAGTGAGATGCACTGTATAGATACAGCAATGTTATCTCTTATTTTC